AGCCAAGAGGCCTAACCTCCCCACCACACGAAGACCACCCCAGATATCCATACAAAGACAACCAGGTGCATGTGTGAGAGGCCAGTGAGGAGCGGCAGAGATTAAAACTAAACCAAGCCAGGCGTAATGATACACACTGATGATCCTTGTACAGGGAGGACTGAGATAGTAGTAGGCACATGGGGCCAGCCTGAGCTACATTAGCAAGACCATGACTCAAAAAGCAAAACAAAAAAAGTCAAGGACATTATGTTTCTCCCAGTGCTTTGATCACATGTGGAGATCCAGGCAAACTGCTATTTAACAAGGTAATCCATCTAGTTTTTCACTTGACCCGTGATCTTACTTAATATAATATTTGTGTTAATTCTTTGAGAATTTTATACATGCTTACAAAGTATTTTAATCAGAATTACGCCCCCATCCCCAACTCCTCTTCCTAACCCCCTTCCAGATTCACCCTCTTCCTCCCCACACCCCAGCTTCCTGTGCACCAGTGACTTTAAACAAACAAAACCTAGATCAGGTAAGATGGCTCAGATCAATGCCAAGCCTGATTACCTGGGCTCCATTCCCAGGAAAGAAGGAAAGAGATTACATCTGTAAGTTGTCCTCTGACCTCTGCACATTCATTATGGCAGGCATGACCATATGCATAAATAAATAATCGTATTTTTGTTGTTGTTGTTGTTGTTGTTGTTGTTGTTGTTAATGTAGCTGGGTATGCAATCCCAGACCCTGGAAGGTAGAGGCAGATAGGTCAAGAGTTCAAGGTCATCCTTGGCTACCTTGTGAGTTCCAGGCTGACATGGGCTACATGAGATGCTGTCTCTGAAAAAATAAAAATCTGAATATAGATAAAGGATTTCTGTAAAGAAGGCTTTAAAATCAACAAATATGCGCAAGAACTGTGCCTCTGGCATTAGCTGCAGGCTTACTGCTAAATGCAAAGAGCCTTTCTGGGTTCTCTGCTTTCTTTTCTCTCAGAGGGATTTCCATACAGCCCAAGTGACATTGTCCTATTTAAGATCCACTACGGCTCACAGGACAGGACGATTTTTCCCACGGTTACTCATACACTGTAAGCCCTGAGATAAGTAGGGGAGCAAATACACACACACACACACACACACACACAGACACACAAGTATGCAGCCCACCTTGCTTGTATTCTCCAGTTAGTATTTCTGCCACACAGCCTGGGCTTGGGAAATTTTAACAGATCCATAGGTATTTCAAGTGTTCCGATAAATCTAGAGCTGAATCCTAACTGAGTACTCAGTAAGTAATCAACAAAACATTTGGCACCTGAAAGTCCTTTTTCAACCCAACCCCGGCTCCCACCCCCAACCCAGGGCCTGCTTTCCTCTCTCCTTCACTGGGTTTCGGTGGGATCAGTCTTGCTGGCTGCTGCCCTCTGGGTGCCACGTCACAGGAGGTCTGTAACAGGTACAGAAAAAAAAAAAAAGACAAGAAAGATTAGTTCCTCCCCTCCGTGCTTCAGGGGCAGCCCAAAGAGATTCAGTTCAGGGAAGGGAAGGCCTAATCAGTTGGTTTCAAGTCTGCTGTTCAGCAAAGCCTCTGAATGCTAATTGCAAAGTAACCTTGGAAACCAGAGCCTGGTACCCAGCGAATGTTGTGCAAATGTAGCTGGACCTCAGAAGGGCACGTCCAGGGCAGCATTTCACAGGCTCCAGGCACTCTTGATTTGGGAGATTTTTTTTTCCACATTTATCTCTGCAAAACCTCTCTGTCGGTTGTCACCAACTGAATATGTCAAAGTCCTCAGAAGATGGGATATGGTTTCTCCATTGCTGCATCATCTCCCAGCACTTAAAGATTCTGAGAACGAAGGAACCCACGTTCCTAAAATGTGGAAGCAAGGGTCAGCTCCCTTTCTCACAAAACAGGATGTCTGGGAAGCTGAAGTGTCTCAGGTGCTGGGGGAGGGGACTGCCCCTCCACTGGCTGCATGGATAATGGCAGGGTTCTGAGAAAGCTATTCCGAGGCTCTCTGTGTCTAACACTGAGGCCTGGAATACAGCCTGATGTCCAAAGCTTATACTGTGTGTCCTTTATGAGTCTGAGCAAATGCCTCAAATTTCACCCCAGTAAGATGACAGAAATCACTTAGGATCCCGGGAAGAAAAAAAAAATTGGTTTGTCTCAAGAACTATGGAACCATTTTCTGCTTGACCCCAGAATCCTGAGGGAGTCGGGCTGCTCCTCCTTAGGAAAAAAAAATGTGGTAAACTGTAGCTTACTGGGAGAGGAGACTTCTGCCCCCTCGCAGAGGCTCAGAGATACACATTCTGAATGAGAGAAGAGTCTTTTCTATTCACAGCGATTCCGTGCTGAATAGAGATTATGTAAGTGCTTGAAAATGGCTGTTTTAAAAGACAACTGCAGATGAAAACTTCCTGACTTTGACATCCCATAATACCGAGTTGTTTATGAAAATAAGATTATGCTGTGCTCATTATATAAGGTTTCAATTCTTGTATTTGGTACTGAAAACACACAAACTACTCTGTCTCCCCTAGTTTCTTAGTGTCCTATTACATCGTAATTTTGAGACAGGGTCTCACTATGCCGTCCAAACTTAACCTCTATATGAAAAGTCCAGGGTTGTCTGAAACTAATCATTCCCCTGCCTCAGACTCTCAATAGTGAAATGCCTGAAATGCCCCACTCCCCCACCTCTGCCTTTTTAAAATTTAATTGGCTTCTAATTCCTTTTCATAGGTATATAGCTATATGACAGTGTTTACAAAGATTAATATGAGGAAGAGAGGTCTCAGTGCTTAAGAGCACTCGCTACTCTCCCAGAGGACCTGAGTTCGATTCCTATCACCCATGACAAGCAGTTCACAATTGACTACAAATCCAGATTCAAGGACACTTACATTACACACACCTATTACTGCACACACCAAACAAATACCCATACATTCACACAAATAAAAATAAAAGGTAAAACTATGTTAAATAGGGTGGTTTGAATGAGAATGGCCTCCATAGGCTCTTATGTCTAAGTGTGGGGGTCCCACTGGATAAACAGATTAAGAAGGAGGAGGAGATGTGGCCTTTTAGAGGAGGCGTGTCACTAGGGGTGAGCTTTGGGGATTTGAAAGCCCTCAGCAGGTCCAGTCTCACCCTCTCTCTCTGTCCACTCCCTGGATATCTGGATGTAAGTTCTCAGCTACTGCTCCAGCACTGTGCCTGCCTGCCTGCTGCCATGCCATGCCCTGCCATCATGGAAATAGACTAACCTGTAGCAGGATACTTATTCTGCTACATTGTATTCACAGTGGAGCTCAGTGATTAGGCAGTAGAAGAGGAGGTAGAGCTGGGAGAAGAGAGGAAGGGGAGGGGAGAAAGAGAGGAAGGGGAGGGGAGAAAGAGAGGAAGGGGAGGAGAAGAAGGAGGCTATCAGCCATGGAGAACCATGGATAGGTTGAAAGCTATCCTGGGTAGTAACTTCTATCAAAAGGTTAGATATTGGGTACCAACTCTAACTGTGTGGACATCTTGTTGATTGAGCATTTCTAAATATATAAATCCTTTAGATAATCGTTAAGCTTCAAGAGTCTCATTTCTACCGGGTACTGCCAGGATGGCAGATATTGTCTGGGGTTCAGCCAAGCTTTGTGGATTTGGATGTAGCATGGTGGATTAGAAGAGCCATCCCTATCGCTGGCATCTCGTGAGTGTCAGGGCCTATGTATCTAGTTAGCCAGAGCCCTGGTCAGAGGCAAGGAGGAGCAGGAACATGGTTGCTGTCTGGGAACAAGCTGGACTGGGCGCCATTTTCTAAGTAGTTCCCCCTACACTAACCCTCTGAAACTGTGAGCCAGCCCCCAATTAAATTCTTTCATTTATAAGTTGCCCTGGTCATGGTGTCTCTTCACAGAAATCGAACAGTAACCAAGGCATTAAAAATAGTGTAATAGTATACACATCTTAAGTTTGTTGTGTATTTAAGTTCAATTAGTTTTAAGCCCTCTGAAAATATCATCTATGGGATCTATTTCTCATCGTTATGACCAAATACCTGACAAGAAGCAACTTCAGGGAGGAAGGGTTTATTTCGGCTCAGAGGTTGAAGGCACAGGCCATGACTGTGGAGAAGGCTTGGCAGCAGGCGTGTGAAGCAGCTGGCCACATTGTGTTGAGAGACAGAAAGATGAATGCTGGTGCTCAACTCCTTTTTATTCAGTCCAGTCCCCGCCCCCAAGTTGGTGTTCCTCAGTGGAATCTTGCTGGAAGTATCCCGGAGGACAGAGTCAGCGGTGCGTCTCCACCATGATTCTACGTCAACGTCACGTCGATAAAGATGAACAGGCTCATTGACAGGAACCCCCCTCTGGTGGCCCCTGGACACAGACAGTGAGAATTACGCTGGCCTTGACTCAGGAAGGGTCTCATTTCTATCGGCCCATCAGCCTTGATATTCACAGAACAATCAGGGTTCCAGGTCCCCTCTTACCTCTGGGTCTGACAGTGCCCAGGTCATAAATGACTTTTGTTTTGGGAGGCCCAGTTTGAGGCAAGCAAATTTGGGAAACAAGCTCCAGAGAATTTCAGTCTCTTTACTTACTCGGAAGTGCTCAAAAACCTCTCTCTCTCTCTCTCTCTCTCTCTCTCTCTCTCTCTCTCTCTCTCTTTCCCCCCACCCCCTTAGCAGTTTTGGTTTGCCATGTCCAGAAAAAAAGTTAATTTTCCTATCCATTAACAACTTTTTCTCATGGTTTCTAATTAGTCAAGACCAGGTTTCATTCTTATCCAGAGCCTTGGACTTTGCAGTGAGATTTCTAAACATGCAGGGCCCGTCCAACAGACTGCATGTTTCCAAGAAGATCACCCCCTGATCCAGGGCCTTCAAACAGACTCATGAGTCATGGTCGTGCCTCTGGGATGCTATTGGAAAGTCTTGAACCCATAACAATCCCAGCCAGAGCTCCGGTCTCAGCAAAGCTCCCATCTTCTGTCTCCCACAGGGTCCTGTAGCATCCACAGCATCGGCACTTTCTATCCTCTCCTCTGGGCCTGCTCTCCCCCCACCACCTCCACCACCGCCTCCTCCTGGGCCACCCCCACCTTTTGAGGGTGAGGGTAAAAAGGAGGAGCCCTCCCCTTCTCGGTCAGCTCTATTTGCCCAGCTTAATCAGGGAGAAGCCATCACAAAAGGTAAGAAAACAAACCCTGGAAGCCTACTCCCTTTCCCTTTGGCTCTAGGCATATGGATTCTCCATACCTCAAGGAAAGGTGCATCATTCTACCGCCATCCTTAAGATACAGGGAGAAAGAGCTGCCTCTGGAAGGTGGGAGCATGGGTACTTTCCAGCTCTAGGAACAAAGGCTCCATTGGGCTGCAATATAGACCAGTGAGAACTCAGACTCTGGGTTCTCAGTTGACCAATGAGTGGGGCCTCCTCAGCCCCAGGGCTCCCCATCAATCTCCAAAACTAAGTCATCAAGATCAAATGAAATAAAGATGGCGAAATGGAGCCTTGATGTATCCCTACCAAGGCTCTTGGAAGCACTATCATTGAATTATCTTTGTCTTCATATGGCAAGTAGTTGATTATTTTAATGCAAATATTTAACATTTATCAGGATCAAAAGTACACTCATGCTAGACAAGATAGTCATGTGGCCAAAAAGGTACATTGTAGGTGTTTTTGTTTTGCACATTGAATAGGATTGAAGGTGTAGAGGTTGCTCTACATGGGGCTGGAAGCTAAAAACTCAAACCTTCACATTTATTCCTGGCTCAGGCCTGCACTGCTCATCCCTCTGAAACTCACAGAGTAAAGGAATAGACTTCTAACTCTAAAGCTGATTTCAAATTCTGAAAAGTACTTTCTGGGGGTAGCATAGCATTTTAAACCATTTAGCTATAAGTAAACCAGACAGTCTTAAGGGGGTTAAGATGGCTTAAGGAATTGTAGGGCTTTTTGCTTACTTTTTGCACAGTAGGACATAGTTCATCAATCGGGAAAGCAGCACAGTCCTGCTTGCTCCTGTCATAGTAGGTCAAGAAGCAGGGGGCATGAATACTGGTACCCAGTTCATGCTCACCCTTTAATTCAGGCTGAGGTCCCAGCCCATTGCATGGATCATCTGTATTCGGGGTGAGCCTTCTCTACCCACTGCCACATCTCTGCAGATTCTCTCACAGACATGCCTGGAGTTGTGTCTCCTAGTCGATTCCAAATCCAGCTGAGTTGACCCTTCATCTCCTTACTTCTTGGTAAAACAGGAAGCAGACAGGAAGTCTGGACAGGCTATGAGATTTCAGGACATGCAATCAGTGACCTACTTCTTCCAGCAACGATTGACCTCAAATTTTTGATCAAATCTAAAGGTTCTACAACAGCTCCCCACCCACCGCCCCCACAGAGTGTCTTGATCTAGAGACCAAGTTTTCCATGGGCCTTGAGGGACATTTACATGCAAAAAAACAATGCTCTACACACACACACACACACACACACACACACACACACACACGGCATTTCTTTCAATCTCATACTTTACCAACAGTTGTTATGTACTTTACATAGTGGGCATTTCCCTTTTCATAAGATGGGATGATCCTACATTGTGCCACCTTCTATTTTAGTTGCTTTTCTGTTGCTGTGACAACAGTGACTTCAAGGGAGAAGGGTGTACAATCCCAGATTATAGTCTGTCGTGGGGAAGTCAAGGCAGGCACTTGAAGCAACTAGTCACATCAGAGTCAAGAGCAGAGAGAAAGTGAACACATGCATGCTTAGTATTCAGCTAGCTTTCTCTACTCTTATATACTCCAAGGTCCACAACCAGGGAATGGTGCTGACCATTTTCAAGCTGTTCTTGTTGGATGATAAAGATCCAAACCCACGGGACACGCTCCCCCAGAGATACTCACAGACAGGACTCACTGCAATTTTCATGAGGTTTATTGAAGAATTGATAGTGGCTGGTGCACCAGGGCCCCTCTGCTTGCAGGCAAGAGGGAACCCCAAATTGGGATGAAGGGTGGCTTATATACTGAGTTCACAAAGACAGTTAATTGCTTATTGGACAATATTAAAAAAGATTTCAAACATTTGTTCTCAAGCCTAGTTTCCGTACCCAGGCTCAGTTCCTAAGTAACTCAAATTTGCATCTTATTTTTTACAACAAACAGAGTCAGCTTAAGTAGCTTCTGTTTACCCAGGTTTTACTGTGCTAAGAGCTCATAAACTCTTATCTTGGGTCTTTCTTCCTCTGGAATGTTTGCTCGAGCCTCCGGGATGTACTCTTCCCGGGATGTGCCTCGGGGGCCGTTAATATTTGAGTTTAAAACCGAAATCGGAGCTTTTTATTAATTTTAAGTTTCTACATTCTCATACCAATCAAGACAATCTCCCACAGACAATCAAGACAATCATACCAATCAAGACAATCTCCCACAGGCCAACCTGACCGAGACACTTTCTTATTGAGATTCTCTTCCTAGGTGATCCTAGCTTAGGATAAGTTGACAAAACTGTCCTGCCTTTCTAGGGCTCCGCCATGTCACAGACGACAAGAAGACATACAAGAATCCCAGCCTGAGGGCTCAAGGGCAAGTTCGATCTCCAACCAAAACCCACACGCCAAGCCCCACGTCTCCAAAATCGAATTCTCCTCAGAAACATGCTCCAGTGTTGGAGCTGGAAGGGAAGAAATGGAGAGTGGTGAGTGAAATCCTGTAACATTTACTCCGATTCTCTCGACTAAAACCAACTTCTAAACACCTCAAAGCACTTCAGAAAGACATGGGAGTTTCCAAGTGAAATAGTAAGATGCAAAAAAACAATGATGCCAAAATGAGAAACTGGGTACTTCTGCAGACTTATATATATATATTGGTAACTCCTATGGATTCTTCTACTTTCTAGAACTATTCTTTGGTTTGGTTTGGCTTGGCTTGGCTTGGCTTGGCTTGGCTTGGTTTAGTTTGGTTTTTTTGAGACAGTGTTTCTCTGTGTAGCCCTGAATGTCCTTGAACTTGCTCTGTAGATTAGGCTGTCCTCAAACTCAGAGATCTGCCTGACTCTGCCCCCCTAGTGCTGGGATTAAAGGTGTGTGCTACCACCGCCTTGTTTAAAACTATTTTTTAAACTGTGGTAAAAATGCACATAACAGTCACCAGTAACCATGGTTGCAGTAAATATTTAATCTCAAATTGGGGTTTCTACCCTGCCTTAATCATTCAGTTCCCAGATAAAAGACATACAACCTTTATGTTTTTAATAAGCCTTAATCACCATGGGAGCTGGGCAGATGTCTACCCTCTATGCTGTCATGTCTACTTCCCTACAGAAGACCCAGAGTTATAACTTGCTATGCTCCATATGGGCTGCTCCCAACCTCAGCTGGCCAGCCCTCACGACCATGTTCTCATAACTCACCTACCCACAACAACTTCTCTCTTTACCGTCTTCTCTCTCCCCCTCATGATCTCCTGCCTCAGAAAGCCCTGGAACCAAAAAACCCTGCCTATCCCCTGTCTAACGATAGGCAGTAGGCAATTTTATTCACCAATGAGAGATAACTTGGGGCAAGGTTACATAGCATCACTTGGGTCTATAAATGGGTTTTCTCATCCCTGGGGCAACCAGGCCTTGGGGGCCAGTATTTAGCATTACAATACATAGCAAAAGACTAAATCTCTACAAAGCATCTTTAAATGCACATCCCTGTGATGTTGGGTGTGTTTACACTGTTGGGTTTCCATCCCTGGCATTCACTGCTGGACACTCTATCTTGCAGAACTCAGCCTGTTAGACAATGACTCCTTTGCCTCTAGCCCTCCAGCCCCTAGCCACTGCGGTGTGCTTCCTTTCTGTGAACATGACTACTGATTTCCAAGCTTTTAAGCAGGTGGGGAAGAAGCCAACAACCAGTACTCCTGGAACTCTGCCTTGTGGTGATGGGCTGATAGTTCCATTCATAACCTGAAGCTACCGCTGCCACCCACCATTCTCGGGGTTAATTACATAAGTGTGCCAGGAATGCTTTGAATATGGATGATAGCTGGAGTCCCCTACTGAATCAGAGAGCTCTCTTAAAGACTAAGGAGCAAAGTTTCTGGAAAGGTTGCCAAGGCCTGAAAAGACACTGGAGCTTGAACCATTGCTCAGACCCCAGCAGCTCCATCTCCTCATGACCACAGCAGGGTCTGATGCAGCATCAAATGGACTGCCAGCATCTGCATAGCAACCAAGTGTGCATAGCAACCACATCCCTGCTCCAGCCCTGCTTTCTAGCAGGGCTGTTAACATCTGACACGCTAACTGATGCCCACTCCCAAGCAGTGGTTCACTCACTCCCATGATTACAATCGACAGCTAAGACCTGGAGGTTTCTCCATAAGGAGAATGTTCCAGAAGACAGCATGCTGAAAGGCGACAATTCTGTTGAAGCCTCTAGCAAGGTCAGCAGTCAGTGGGGTTGGCCCATCCTTCTGTTCATGTTTAATGTCCATGTCTGTTTTACCTTTAGGAATACCAAGAGGACAGGAATGACCTTGTCATCTCAGAGACTGAGCTGAAACAAGTGGCTTACATTTTCAAATGTGACAAATCCACTCTTCAGATAAAGGGAAAAGTAAACTCCATCACTGTTGGTAGGCAAAACTAAGGCTGTGTGATTGTTACACTGAGCTGGGTTGCAGAAACCAGCCACGTGCATTTACTAGAGCTTTGTTTTTTTTCTCTTTTAGATAACTGCAAGAAGTTTGGCCTGGTGTTTGATCATGTGGTGGGCATCGTGGAAGTGATCAACTCCAAGGACATTCAGATCCAGGTGAGTAGCCTCTGGGGCCATGGTCTGCCCTGGCCATGGCTCTACACGAACTGCTCATCTTCCTGCAGGGAAACATCACATTTCTGATCTTTCTAAACACAACTTCATCCCCTCTCTGGAGAAGCCCGGTCTTTATTCTCAAGTCAATGTTAATCAGTCTTGGTTATTTTCCCCCATTTTGTACTGCAAACACTGTCTTACCCTCTTGATCTCCTGGACAGCTAGAGAGCTGAGGACAAAGCTCAGTGGCCCAGGGCAGGCAGTCATAAGACTCTGGGTTCTGTCCAGGACTACAAAAGAAAGCAAAGCCAGCTATGCAGTGCACAGTTCTAAAGACCTATGTGTCACCTGAACACTGTAGGCACCCGGTAAGTGTTGCTGAGCACACAAGTAGGTGAATCTGCCACTATAGGAATAAAGACTCTTGAGAGACTATCCTAGGAAAATAACATCCCCCATGCTAAAGAGAATCCCCCCCAGAAGAAAAATGACCATGAGGGAGAAGGGGGGTGGTATACAGAATCAACAAGATAATCAGAAAGAAGAAAAAAAAAAGCCAGGGAGTAAGTAGGATCAGAATTGAATTTTCAGAAACAAGAGAATGTCTGTATCCTTCAGTAATTTTGATTTTGTCAAATAGACTTTTTACAACATACAAAGATCCAAAGGACTTCTGACTCTGAGCCAAGTCCAACCCCTCTCATTGGTTCTGCTATTTGCCTAGTGTTAATTACCCTTTACAATCTGGTGTTTCCTCGTGGTGATTGACAAAATTAGATGTCAGTTATGTAAATCTTTCTCTTCTCTGGGTTTCTCTCCATTCACACTTTTAATTAGAACTCACTTAATTGTATATATTACATTTGTCTATTTACCTTGTCATTTTAAGACGCTGGTTCTGTTTATCCCCACTGTGTGGAAACAGCGCTGATTGGGGATCCTGGATCCTGGGTAAGAATGCCAGCTCTACACATACGTATCTGATAATCCCAGGAAAGGGGATGTTATGCTGAAACCAAACTAAGAATATCTCTTGAAATCCTACTGCAAGTGGCACATTTCATTTAGAAGAATTGCTGTTGACACCAAAGCAAGAGCTTTCCTCCGGTCCTTATTTCTATTCAATAATGCATTACAGGTTCTAACTCCTGCAATAAGATAAGAAAAATAACCAAAATAAATAAAATTGAAAAGGAAGAGATAAAGATGTCTTTATATGACAGCAAAATGATTATTTTATATAAAGGCCAAGAGAGAGCAATAAACTATACGGCAAGACAGGTAGGTATACTGTCAACAGAAAAAAATTCATCATCTCTTGGCACCATGAATATGTGTTAGGAAGTGTAATTCAAAATAAGATTCAGAATAGCAACCAAACTGAAGGGGACCAAGTAATAAATCTTCAAAACAACTGAAAGAGATTTATAAAGAACACAGAATGGTTGTGAGCTAAGTGAGCAAAACCAACACAAGCATCATTTCTGTCTCTTTAGTCTGTAAGTCCAGCAAAGCTCAAATAGTTCAGCAATTTTTTTTTATTAAAGAAGAAAAAAAAAAAACCTTGAAATTCATTTGGAAGCTAAGAGTCCAAGAAAAATAAAGCCAGGAAGGAGCCTCGGTGCTTACAAGTGCTGCTGCTCTTGCAGGGGATTTGAATTTGGCTTCTCCCAAACACCAAACTAAGCTGCCCCCCAACTGCCTGTAACTCCAGCTCCCGAGCGAGCACCTGGCATGCTCTTATGAACTCCACGTGGCCTGTACTCACAAGCGCTAACTCACACCCAGACACACGTGACACACAGAACTCAAAAATAAAGTCTTTGAAAGACTAGATAAAGTCATTTGAAAGCAGATGAACAAGGCGAATTGGGTCATTTTAAGGTGGCACATGGTGGGAGATATTTAAAAAAAAGAAAAAAGGCAAAAGGAAAACAAAAAAAGCATACTAGCAAGCCATGACGTAGAGGGGTATATACACTGAAATGGATTTTAGAACAGTTGATCATTTATGTGGGAAAGCAACAGTGAGGAGCTGGAGAGATGGCTCGGGAGCTAAGTGCACTGGCTGCTCTTGCATAGGACCCAGGTACGGTTCTCAGCATTCAGGTTGTATCTCCCAACCATCTGTAACTCCAGTCTCAGGTTCTGCCACCCTCTTCTGGCCACCACAAGTACTGCACACACATGGTACACAGACACGCACGCAAGCAAAACACTCATACACACACAAAAAAAAATTTTTTTTAAAGGAAAAAATTAAGAATAAAACAACCACTGAATCTACACTTCATGCCATACTTAAAAGTAAGGTTCCAATTAAATATATTCAAACATTTAGAACAACATACAGAAAGGGGGAAAAAAAAACTTCATGCTTTTGTGATTCATGTGATTCAAAACCACAAACCATAAAGAAAACAAGTGGTTACTCTAATGCCATTAAAGTTATAGTTCTAGGCTGCAGATTGAGTTCAGTGGCGTTTACATAGCATGGGTGAGGTCCTAGGTATTATAATCCCCAGTACTGTGTATGCGAGGGTGCACACGAGAGTGTGTATGCACACACACACCACAATTTTCATAATATATATTCAACAGAAGATATGATATGCAAATCTGAAAGACCAGATATGGATTAAGGAAAGATATTTACAATGTAGATAATGAGAAAGATTTGCATCCAGAACATGTAAAGACGCAAATACAGTCCAGAAACTGAGACTCACGCTCTAATAGAGAAGCCAGCAGAGAGTATTAACCATTCAGAGACATAAGAAGTGAACTGGCTGCCACATACATATGGAGATATGCTAGCATGACAGAAAGAGGAGTATAAACGAATACCACAGTCATGGATTCTTGTCCTCGCTCATCTCTTTTGCATTTAGAATGTCCTTGTTCTGTACAGAGTCACGTCCGTGGAATCTGATGTGTAAAGGATCTGTAAGTGCAGGGGGTGCGTGCTAATGTCTGGTGTACAACCTGTCATGGAAGTGCGACACTGGGTTTCCCTGCCATGCCCAAGCGTGAACTTGGTACACCCACTGCAGGACAGATTGGCACCAAGTGTGAATGCCACATCCATAGCCCGTGGCTGAATCATTATGTGCTTCTGTGCCTGTGGTAAAGCTCCAGTCACAGATAAGGAAACACGGAGAGCATGTATTGTAGTGGCATGGCAGTAGCAAGAGAGAGCAAAAAAATTTAAGTGTCCACCAAGTGGCAAATGAATAAACAACTCTTTCCAGTTGAACACTATTTAACAGTTAAAATAAACAAGCTATTGTTACCAGCATAAAAAAAAATAGGTGAATTTTAAAAGCAGGTAATTTTTTAAAGGGGGGCATTGAGCTGAAAGGTTAAGTTACAGGGTGGTGCTATGTGATAGGTCCATTTATTAAAAAACTATAGAGTGTGCAAACCAATTCACACACACTTATGACATGTCAAGGTGTTCTCTTGGGCACTTCACCCAATAGACAGATCATAAGCAAAAAATAAACAGCAAACAAACAAATTTTAAAAACAACAACAAACAACAAAAGCCAAGAGAGTAGTTACATACAGGGAGGAGGAAAGAAGGAGGAAGTGAGGGAAAGTGGGGTGGAAGATGACAGTATCCAGGGGGCGGTGATAGTGTGAGATCTTAGTTCTTGAGAGTCGGGGGAAACAGTGGTTGAGTGTGTGCTGCACACTTAATAATCCCAGCCCTGGGGAGGACTCACTGCAGTTAGAGGCCAGCTTGATCTGTACAGCAAGTTCCAGGCTAGCCAGGGCTGCAAAGTGAAACCAAGTCTCAAAAACAAACAAATAAACACAGTAAAGCTGAGTGTAACAGTGTACACCTGTAACCAAAACACTCCGGAGGTAGAGACAGGAAAAGGGTCAGCCATTCAAAACCATCTTTGGTCCCAAAGTGAGTTCAAGGACAACCTAGGCTACATGAGACCCTGTCGGAAGGAAGGGAGGAGGAAGAAAGATGGAGGAAGTGAGGGAAAGTGGGGTGGAAGATGACAGTATCCAGGGGGCGGTGATAGTGTGAGATCTTAGTTCTTGAGAGTCGGGGG